GAGGAGGAGGAGAGGAAGCGGAAACTGAGAGAAAATATCAAGTATGTCATGGACAATCCGCATTTTGGTAGATTGGAGAAGAAGGGGGTTCGCTCTCGAAGTAAGTTCAAATTCAAATTTGGAATACCAGCCCAATATTCGTTAGGCTGAACGATCCATCCTCTATCCATTTGATCATCGAACTGTACACTCATTGATTAATGAAGCCTATGCGAACGTGGTCGGCTGACGATGATTTCCCATCATAACGGGCATCTAGCGTGTACATGTTGGGATGTTGTCCTCCGAATTATTCAGGAATCGGTCTTCTGTACATCCCCATGCAGGAATTGCTGAACGAAATTACTTTTCACTATCACAACACTATCACCACTACATCAGCGGACAGAATCAGACATTTAGTTCCACAATGCCGTAATAGCAGTGCATGTTTCTAGCAGCTTTATACGTTTTTAGCTCACCTAATCTGTCCCCTCTTGAGGACACATCTGGCATCAGATACTATGCTGTAGAAGCGTCAAGTGGATACTGTGTGCTGTCCTCTCTAGCAGTACAAACCATGAATGATGGTTAGCGATAATGTGTTAAAACCAGGGGAATTAAAAATTAAATGGTACACTTCCACAGCTCGCCGTTCTTGACCTTATCAAATAATGTGTCCTCGTTAGAGTATATTAGAAGTTCATGAGTTATATTTAGAAGACGGAACACAAGTAATCTCCAGGGGAAATATAAAATGGGAACACGACCTATGCCCTTTGATTCTTTGAATGTCCCAGCCAAAACGTAATACACTGATTATTAGAATTCGCATCGGTTTCTGTGACCGGTCGAACGGTATGTTGTAGCCCGTTTTCTCATTCGTTAGGTGATCTTGCTTATGACCATGAAAGATGGATTCGCTCAAGGACATCGGCTGCATACTTTGAAGAAACTGGTTCATCTGGCACTCCAATGGAAACATGATGCAATGAAAATTCGTCGCGGCGAGATATAGTAAATTGGGAACACTGCGGTCAATTTGTTTCCCAGATTACGTGATATCACAAACCAATGCAGCAGACCAGAGATTGGTGGCATCACCACATGTTCAACCAGACAGACGTTAACTGGAAACACTTCTAACCAATTGCTCATTCTGTCTACACCATAGAGAGATTCTCTCCGCTTTACACCCCGCATATAGTGGAATATTGATAACTGAATCGGTATGTGCAGGAGCATTCGCTCCGCAATAAATAAGAATAACGCACGGAGCATCTGCTCGACAGCTGAATGGATTGCGGTAAAGCCCAGGATTTTCCCAGTTTTTCACATGTCCCGTTAGGGATTTAGGAGTATCGCACTGTCACAATCAAGCTAGGCTGACCATCGGTAAAATAAATAGTTCTTGGTTTCGCTTTTTCCTCCGATTCGTAGATATCGCGGGAAAAACATGCGAGGACGAAAACAGGGAGGTAAAATCAGTGGTCAGTTGTTGGCACCGAACGCTGTGAAGAATATGACTTCAGAAAGGAAGGCGCTGAAAAGAAATTTTTACGTTGTAACAATTACAGTTTACAGATGCTTTGCAGTTTCAGCTGTTTTTAA